GAACGGAGCTCCAACAGAGCTCTGCCTTTATATCGATAAAAAATAGCCCGGCGATTAAGAGTCAATAAGTGTCAATAGACAATTGAACAGGCTGTTTGGAAAGCTCCGTCTAAACAATTCAACCCGGTATTCCGGATCATCTATTGACCGATTGACCGATGTCCTATTGTTCCTTTGTTTCTCAATGACCCGGAACCACTGTGTCTAATGAACCTCCCATTCAGTCCTTCAATCAATAATAGCGTTCAATAGATTGAGTCGCAAATATGCCTGTGTTTCAATCCAAAACCTTTCGTCGGGCAGCTACGGAATCATCATCCCTCGGTGAACGGCTCGGTGCATTTTACCGGGCGCGACTGGCTCGACACCCTTTCATTCTCTTCGGACTCCCATTTATGGCCGTTATTGTAGCTGGGTCGTTTGCATTGACGCCTGCTGCTGCTTTGCGATATGAGCGGTATGACCGCAAAGTCAAGCAGCTCAGTCAAGATGAAGCATTTGACCTCGGACTCAAGGGTCCTGACGGGGAAGAGGGAATTAAACGCAATCCGCGGAGGAGGATTGTAGGCGACGAAAAAGAGGAGTACTACGTATGTGTTGTTTAATTGATCCTGGTTTTCTTGCCTGAAATTTGAGCTGAATGCTGATTATTGTGCACGCTTACAGAGACTCATGGCCAAAGACCTCGACCAATGGGAGCAGAAGCGAGTAGAGCGATTCAAAGGTGAACCGGATGGAAGGCTGTAACACTTTGAATTCAAATATTACTCTGGCATCCTCGAACACGACAAAAACACGTTTTCCTCATGACCTCACCTAACGTATGAGCTCATCGCTAGGCTCCATTGCCGTACATTACTGTGTGGGGATAAAGGAGGAGATCGGGGAGGGGCATCCATTCAATTATCTGGCTGGCCTTCACATACAACGTATGCTCTGCACCAATATCCCTACTTAGGTAGGCATTTGAATTGGTCTCGCTCACTTTCTCAGCCTCTCGAAAGTTGTATACAATGTGCAATGTTTCCACTTCCCAGATCCTATGTGCTGAGCCATTGACTGTGAAATTGGGGAAAGATATCCACGGATATTTCTACCCCCTCTCGAGTCTGTCGCCTCCTCTTTTTGCTTGTCATATTGACGTGAAACCTGCATGAGTGGAACCAACTAACCGGGAACTGGGATGAAGTCACTGTTAATATTGACCTACAACATAAAGACAAGTCCATAATTCAATTCTGAATTCATTGATGTAAATATTGATCTATTGATCTATCGTATAAAACCTTCCAAGGTTGGAAGGGGAGATCCTCGTTCAATGCTTAGTCAGCCAGATATAGCCTCGGGGCCTAGCCGCTTGGAGACTTCTCTGTGTTTGACCACTATGTATGTACATATGTACGCTTGTAGATATATGCGTATACCGCGTATGAATTGTTTATTTTTAAGGATGCATGTACTATATTATATTCATCTATATTATAGCTATATAACCCTACGTATATATATACTATGATATTTATGTGGTAAATATAATATAAAATAAAATACCTACGTCAGAACTGATGTGAACCCGTGATCCCCCACACAACAACGTCATACCTTTTCTTCTCGAAGCCCCCAATTTTCTTCTTCACCTATTTTCCCTCAACACAGGGCTCCCAGGGCTAGTTCCGGGCGATTATTAATCATGCAATAACACATATGCCCTCTCTCTGTTTCCAGACCTATTCATCCCCCACTATTTGGCATTTTTCATTCCATTGGCCACTGGTTTTCTTCTCTGGCTGGACCCTGGTCTATTCGCTTCTTGTTGCCCCTCTTTGTCTCTCGCTACGTCAGTTGCGTATATCTTGAGGTCCTTCCTTCTGAAGTTTTACTTACCGCTTCCCTTCGACCCTATTATTTGAGAGATAACATTGTTTTCACCCTTGGGTATTGGATGCCATTTATGACCAGCGATTCTGCCACCGTCCTAGGTCTTCGAAGACCCCGATATCTTGGTTTGAGAGCTTGGAAGCACTTGTCAGTCTGAACATCTTGCGAGGCCGCTTGTAATTATCTGATACACAACTGCGGGTGTCATTGTCAGGGAAGTCTTGAGCTGACCGTGACTCGACAGACCAGGAACAGGAGTCGTGGAAGCCTGCCTGCCATGACAGGCCCAGGACGCTCACCCTCCTCACCTTGGGTACAAAGTGCTCAAGGTGGTCATCATGACAGTGCTGTCACACAGTCCTTTCAGTCTACCATGTCCCCATCAACCACGGGCATGATGTCGAGCGCGGCTTTTACAGAAAGATCAAGTCCTAATTATTTTGGCATGGCTGTGCAAAACCCAAACAATCAACAGACTTCCAACCCAGGGCTATCCATGCAAAAGAACTGGGGCACATTACCCCATCCACAACCTCTGCCAAGTCCAAAATTACCAGTTTTTTCCCAAGAATCAGTATCAGCGGGATTGAAGAATCTATTAAAAACCGAGCCTGAAACCAACCGCATACGCCGAGAATCCGCATTGCATGGATCTTCCTCTTCCCAGACGAATTTGTACTCAAAGCCATCGCCTTCACATCCGCTGGGAAATTTCTCATTCACGCAGCCCAGCGAACTGAGGCTTCCAGCCGGCAAGAACTTAGCGCCCACTCCACAAGGTATGACATGGCCACTCTAGGATTTATTCTATTTTTTCTTTCATTCTGTCTTTGATCCTATAAATTCCTCATGCGTTCCACTATCTATCTCCCACAAAATATATAAGATGCTAATATTGCTTCTTCAGGAGCCACTTCCGCTTCATTTCCCTGGGTATCAGCCGAACGCTGCGCCGAACTTCTTGAATCATCACAGTCCAACACCATGCTATTTGATGTTCGCCCATTTGCTCATTTCAGACAGGCCAATATCAAAGGATCACTCAATTTATGCATCCCCACTACCCTACTTAAGCGTCGATCATTTGACACCCAGAAATTAGAGGGTACGTTCACGGACGACGCCGACAAACAGAATTTCGCTCGTTGGAGAAAGTGTGATGTGATCATTGTCTACGATTCTGCCGCAGCAGATTTGAAGGATGCAGCACCTCTTCTGAACCTTCTCAATAAATTCCAGGCCGAAGACTGGAAGGGAGATGGATTGATCTTACAAAACGGATTTCGAGGTTTCTCGAATCGATTTCCACATTTGATTCAGCAACCACAAACGCAGACGACCGGACCATCCTCTAAACGTCCCTCTCCTATGAGAATCGATCTGCAATCTGTTGCTCCTGTCGTGGGGGGTTGCGCCCTACCAGAATCATCCTCTGCCGTCAATCCATTCTTTGGAAATATTCGACAGAACATGGATCTCCTCGGAGGCGTGGGACAAATTCCTCTAAAACAGCCCCATCAATTGACCGAAGCGAAGCGACTTCAACTCCCTTCCTGGTTGCGAGGGGCTTCTGATATCAAGGACCAAGGGCATATTGTCTCGAACAAGTTCCTGGCATTGGAGAAAACAGAATTGGAGCGCATGAAACAGGCTTTGACATATGAAGGGCCTTCGGCTGACACCAATGCTAGCGCCAAGAAATATCGCGTTGCGGGGATAGAAAAAGGCACGAAGAATCGTTACAATGATATTTACCCATTCGATCATTCCCGCGTCCGACTCGAGGGAATCCCGTCTGGGGCCTGTGATTATGTGAATGCGAATCATATCTCCGCCGAGCTTACCAATCGGAAATACATTGCCACTCAGGCTCCCGTTCCTGATACATTTGATGTGAGTGAATCTCCCTCGTAATGCTTATTGTTATGTTACTCACAATAGGCAGGACTTTTGGCGTGTGGTGTGGGAGCAAGACGTTAGACTTCTCGTTTCTCTCACGGCAGAGGTTGAGCGAGGACAGGTAAAATGTCACCGATACTGGGAGTCTGGAAAATATGGACCATTCGAGGTTAAGGCCTATTCGGAAAAGCACATCTATATCGAATCCAAGGGCGGACCTATCGATCCCACGGTTGGAAGTCCTAAGGCATCGACCGAACGAACTGATGGCACAAATGAAAATCCTGTCATCACCGTGCGAAACTTCAGTATCTGCCATACGTCATTCCCCTTCGAGCCGCTTCGGGATATCACCCAGCTCCAATATCCCTACTGGCCTGATTTCGGGACAACGTCACAGCCTACTCATCTTCTCCATCTGATTGAACAATGTAACAAGGTTATTCGTGCCACCGGCAACTCCAGCTTTAGTAGCCAGCAAGCAGAACCAAAGGGCCAGCGGCCAGTGCTAGTGCATTGCAGTGCGGGCTGTGGGCGTACGGGGACCTTCTGCACTGTCGATAGTGTCTTGGATATGTTGAAACGGCAACGTGCGCAGGCTGCCGGTGGTGGAGGCCTGGATCAAAACCCTATCGAATCTTCCGAGTGGATGGGGGATTTCGATCTTGACCTGATTGCAAAGACGGTTGAAGATTTCCGGAGACAAAGACCGAGCATGGTACAGAACCTGAGTCAATATGCACTCTGCTATGAGAGCGTGCTCGAATGGCTCGCTTCTGAGATGAATTAAAACAAATCTCCGGACTAGGCTCTTCTTCCTTTTCTTTTCTTTTCTCTTGCTATGATGACGAACCTGGGATACCCCTTTCTGGCCTTGTATTATTCTCAGGGCCATGGTTTTCTTTTGATCTATGTACAATGTCATACAGCTAGTGGTTTTGCATTTTATGGTGTTTCGGTTTGCTTTGGGGATAGGGAAAAAAATGGACACAGCTAATTTTCTCGGGTGTTATTGCGTAGACTTGTAAGAGACAATGGTAGCATCCTGGCCTCATGAGATTCAAAGAATTGCTCTATCTCAGTTATAGCCCATGACTTTGGAGAAGGCTCATAACCGCAGCTGCGCCTTTGCTATTGAGCAGCCAAGCTCATAACTTTCACCACACTCTGAGCAACAGGAGTTTAGTAAAACTTCGGATCTTCCGAGCTCCTCGTCGAATTCGTTACATAATATTGTCACGCCCCCGGCTCTTGACGGGCTGTTTGCATTGTCCACTATAACCGATATTCAGGAACATTACTCCGCGATCAGTAATCGCAACTAGCTCGTCTTCCTTTTCGGTGAAATGCAACTGAGAGCAAACCGCCTCTAACTGGAGGATGACTGGTCGCAACTCGACGGCACCTGTAGAGGATTCCCATGACGGTGGATAAAAGCCGGTGTCATTGTCTTCGATCAATTCCGACGGATTCAGTGCCCAGACGTAGAGGGTTTTCCAGTTAGCGACAGCAACACGAGTTCCGCGACGTGAAGTTGCCACCGGGGATCCATGTGAAGTGGTTACTTCCCGGAATCCACCAAGCTGCGCCATGATCTGCCAGCTGTCGAAACGCCTTCCGCGGTCAAGATTCAAAACATGGGTACACCGCGGACCAGTATATGACTCAGACTTCAGGAGGCATGCCACAGTCCATTTTTCAACGCGATGGGTGGCAATGCCGAACGCGAGGTACTGCCAATGACACTGTTCTCCTTGGTTTATATTGCCGAGCTTATGGGTACCGAAGAATGGTATTCCAATTGAGAATTGAAGCGACAGGAAAGGCGAAAACTGCACGGTGCATGCATTCTTATGAACATGCGGCTTGGGCTCACCTGGAGGGCGAGGGAGGCGATCAAGTCTCTGAAAGGAACCGTAGATGTTTTGAGCTCGGTAGTGGTAGAGCAACTGAAAGCCTCGATCATTAAATGCTAACTTCGTCGCGGGGCCTATTCTCCGAGAAGAATGGACATCTAGGTCTTGATCGTTGGAGCTTGTCAAAATGTAAGCCTCAAAAGTGGCATCTAGAGATGTCAGAAACCAATTCCAGTACTGGAAGAATGATGAAACGAACGAATAATTTTACAGGGATTGTCTCCCTTGCCTTCTTCCGCAACACCTTCGCTCGAATCATCTTCGTCTTCGTCTTCGTCTTCGTCATCGTAGAGCTGGGTATAAAGAACGACGTCGTGATCAAAGGGGTCGAGCATGTTTTGCCATGATATTGCAAATTTGCCGTTGGCAACGGACAAAGCCAGTGGCCTATAGTCTCCGTATTCGGGAAAGTCATACATTCGAATGGTGTTTGCCCGGGGATTCAAGTGATGGTAGGCCAGGTGAATACTCCCGTTGAGGCGAGACTCTAGGGCGTGTTTAACAAATGGATGGTCTGTATCCAGCTTTTGATCTAGGAACGGTTTGAATCGGTGCAGTACGTAGACTCCGTGGTTTCCATCAAAGGCAGTTTGGATGATCTCGACCTTCCCGATATCCTGTCCTGGGGATTTCAATTGGACTTCAGTTCGATCCCCATCACCCATGTCAACCAAATGGACAGTACTGTGGCCCTTGAAGACAAGCAGTGCTCGAATCCCATCTTCGAATGCCTCAATCGTCGATGCATGGTAGTCAATCACTCGAGTTTGATACTCATAGGTGGGGTTGGCGTAATGTTCTGCGCCATCTAATTGTTCATAAGACCGCCTCATTAACTCGTCAAACAGATGCTTAGTCTGATGAGCATCAATGCCGTCGTTCCAACCAGGAGTATTATGTAGCTGGTGAATGATGACTTCTCGGCTGCTGGAAGCGATCTCATGAAGCCTGCGGCTTGAAAAGGCTGCCTGGAAGTAGGCCGATGTGTCACAGTTCCGAAGAACTAGCTGTATCAGCTCTGTGGGAAGTTGAAGTAGCATATTTGATGTGAAAATCTATGCCAGAATTAATATGGGGGCTTCGCATAGAATTATAGAACTTTGTGAAGGCTAGCACAGTGCACAGACTTTTTGCTGCCTCGTGGGTCTAGGTAGCAGCGCTGATTTTTGTGATGGACTAGGCAGAAAGAGAGAAAGTGGTTAGGAGGGGGAAGACAAGAAAGACAAGAAAAACAACACAATCGAATATTTCAAGGTATCATCAGCAATTTCAGCTTTGGCACTGTTTTTACCTGAAGTTCATACTTCTGCCCAAGGTGATGATTTGTCGTTGCTCTCCGCCTTGTTCGCTATACCAAGGTACTAGTGGTATATATATATATACATTCCTACAGGTACGCCAACTACGGATGGTATATACAAAGAATATATACCAATTCCTAGACTTGGTTTATTCCAGCCAAAAGTGGTCTTTGTAAAACAGACTCGTAGCCGGATAGGTTGCCTTGGATGGACTTCTAGCTGGCATTGTATGTCCACGCAAATACACCAGGCATATTCAAGAGAGAGTCATGGAACACAGAGCATATTTCCAACAAAGTATTATTTCGATATAGGTAATGTGATGAAAAGTCGAAGATCAATGTCATTCTCCGCCACCTCCGGACATGCTGATGAAAGTGATGATCAGAAGAACCCACCAGTACCTAAATTTTCAATTAGCACACGAAATAAATGACACACGCCCATCTGCAACCTACTTTTGGAAAAGAGACTTTTCTTCGGGTTGCTCTGGGTTTTGACCATCCGGCCCGACAACCACTGGCCTGTTCAGGTGAGGCTGCGTCCCGGATTCATTTGAGACGAGATCAATTCGAGGGCCAGATGTTGAGCCCTGAGCATTGGTAGACGATGCAGACAGGGAGACAGTGTAGACTTCGTTGGTTGGACCGAGGTGAAGGCGAAGTGTTGGTTGCTCACTAGCCGTTAAAGAGGACAATGACACGAGACTGCCAACCCATTGCTTTTTATTTGTGGGGGTTGAAGTATAGAGACCAACGCGCACCAGATTATCGCTCTGGTCATCATTTGGGGGGTTATATGAGATCACGTCCGATTTCAATGAAGCTGGGTCGTAGGAGATGCGCGCGAGGACAGACGGCTGTGGCGATCCCAAGGGCCAATATAGGATGTCGGTCGAGAGGGAGGCATTTGTGACAGAGATTAGGAGCGATACAGCACCGAAAATGGTGGATAGGAACCGCATGGCGATGGAGAATTCCAAGGTTATAGTCACGAGGAGACTAAGCTGAGATGTCAACCTTTTTGGAGAGGAAAGTTGGTCTGAGCTCCCGAGGTCCCCCACGATTACATACATAATACATACATTACGGGGGTATGTATGTAACTTACAGTTATTATACTTACATATGATACTTGGGTGAATTGGATAAACCATATAATATATATTATATATATAGCATCTATAACATCTATAACATCTATAACATCTATAACATCTATAACATAGAAAACGAGTATACATCATCTATATACTTTGTACTTATGGAAGTACTTGTAAGGTACGTAAGAGGTACATCCACTTCTACCCAAAATTGGGCGGCATACCAAGTATCAATCAAGTACTCTCAAAGTACCTCGAAGGTACCGGCTAGCACTGCTCCGTCAGGGCTGGGGCAAATTAAATGCTGTCATACTTTGTACCTGATTCTCTTCTACACACACTTCACTTTCAATTCTCTTAATTCAATACATCTGCCCTTCAAGCTCAATATATATACAGATATTAACAGCAAGTCTACTTCGACCAGCCTGTATTGTGTGTTTTGTGACTCGCTAATCTATGATCAGTAGCAATCTATAGCTCCACAACTATCAATTCAAAAGTAAAGAGCTCCCCCAACGGCAACATGGCCTCACTGCCCTACCATCGTGCCTCCCATCAGAGCTCCCGGAAAGCATCCAGTGACCCTCGGGAGGATTTGGCAGTTCATGTTGACCACTATATTGGCATTGATGTCGGAACTGGCAGTGCCCGTGCCTGTATCATTGACGCTAAAGGTGATATTGTGGGGTTGGCCTCGGAAAATATTGGTCTTTGGCAACCAGAGCACGGTTACTATGTAGGTAAATCTGCAAGCGATTTGTGTGCCAAATCAGTCTTACCTAGCCTCTAGGAACAATCTTCCTCTGACATCTGGCATTGCATTTGTGTCGCCGTTCAACGCGCTATCAGCCAGCACAATGTTAACCCTGACACGGTTCGAGGTATCGGGTTTGATGCCACCTGCTCCTTGTCAGTTTTCTCCAATGACACCGACGAGCCGATCTCTGTAACGGGTCCGAACTTCGATTCGGACCGCAACGTGATCTTGTGGCTCGATCACCGTCCAGTCGAGGAAGCCGCACAGATCAATGCTACCAACCACAACCTGCTCCGTTATGTCGGCGGAAAGATGTCTATTGAGATGGAGATCCCGAAGGTTCTTTGGCTCAAGAATCACATGCCCAAGGAGCTCTTTGACAAATGCAAGTTCTATGATCTGGCGGATGCCCTTACGCACATTGCTACGGGAAATGAAAAGCGAAGTTTCTGCAGTGTGGTCTGCAAGCAAGGATATGTGCCTGTTGGTGTCGATGGGAGCGTCAAAGGATGGCAAAAAGACTTTTTGCAGGACATCGGTCTGGGTGACCTGACCGAAGATAACTTCAAGCGCATGGGCGGAGTCGACGGGGTGGTGAGCCTTTCCCCAATTGACAATGACGCAGTTGACTGACCTTTGTTACCGCACAGAATGGTAATTATTTGAGTGCCGGTGAATTGGTTGGGACTCTCTGCGACAAGGCTGCCGCCGAACTAGGCCTGCCGGTTGGTATTGCCATTGGCAGTGGTGTGATCGACGCCTACGCTGGCTGGATCGGTACCGTCGGATCCAAGGTCGATCTGGACGCAGGTCAAACTAGCGCAGATGTTCCCGGACTTGATAGATCAGAGGCCTTCTCTCGCCTTGCGGCTGTCGCAGGAACCTCGACATGTCACCTTGCCATGTCACCAGACCCGGTTTTTGTTGATGGTGTCTGGGGTCCCTATCGGGATACCATCCTCCCCGGATACTGGATGGCCGAGGGCGGGCAATCTGCGACGGGGGAATTGCTCAAGCATGTAATTGAGACTCACCCAGCATTCAACCAGGCTACTTCAATTGCCGAATCATCCCATGCCAACATCTACGAATATCTGAACGAGCATCTCAAAGAGATGGCACATGGCCAAGGAGCCCCATCTATATCTTATCTCGGACGCCACTTTTTTTTCTATGGTGATCTATGGGGCAACCGCTCTCCCATTGCCGATCCCAACATGACTGGATCCATCTTTGGCCTAACTAGCGACAAATCTGTGGATGGTCTTGCCATTTACTACTACGCCACCATGGAGTTCATTGCGCTACAAACTAAGCAGATTGTAGAGACAATGAACAAGGCAGGCCACCGCATCACCTCGGTGTTTATGTCAGGCTCACAATGCCAGAATGACATCCTGGTCAACCTCGTTGCATCTGCCTGCGACATGCCTGTGCTGATTCCTCGATACATTCATGCTGCGGTATGCCACGGTGCTGCTATGCTCGGCGCCAAGGCTGCCAGCGCTGATTCACAGGGCAAAACCGAAGATCTATGGAATATCATGGATCGGATGAGCAAGCCTGGCAAAAAGGTGTTGCCGACAGAAGATAACAACGAGAAAGCCTTGCTCAGTGTTAAATATGAGGTCTTTTTGGAACAGTGCTTCAAGCAACAGAAATACCGTGGGATGGTGGATGACGCCGTGGGGGCCTGGAAGTCCAAGTCTACCTAATTTCACATGACGATCACGACGATATCCCTTTTCTTCAATCACCCAAAAAGAGGACATGGGTACTGGAACGTTGGTCACGATCTACATATTATCTTGTTCGAGCATATTTGGCATCAGTCATTACCGCATAATAAAAAGCACGAGGAATGAAGCTCAGATAACGATAGCAAAATCATAATTATTGCAAGATCATGCCTAATTCACTGAGCGTAGAGCCCGGGTCATCAGGAAAGCCAAGAACATAAGTCACACTGTAAACATCAACCATATGAACAAAATTCCGAAAAACAAAACAAGCTCGCTATGCAACATTAATTCAGACAAGTCAATAAAATGGCTTGTGCTAAAAAGCCACTATCACCAGTTGATATGTGCAATTTGTCTAATAAGCCACCCCGCCTCTTGTTCGGCCGACAGTGTAGAACTTGTCAGAACTACTGGTGCCGGCTATGGCCAGGGTATCAAAGCGATCAACGCCCATGCTGTCCATGTTCACATAGCCCGACATATGGAAGCCAAGCACAACGACGAGGTAGGTGAGTACAAGGATTGATCCCTTGAAGTAGTTGCTCTTTCCTTCGCCGTATACATGCGAGAGAAGGAAGACGCACAAGATAACGGTAATCATATCCCACTGGGGGAATATCAGGCTGTTTGAGATATTTTGTTAGTCATGGCGTTTCGGTTGGAGATAGAATGAACAAAAAAGAGATCTTACTTGAATGAGTGGCTGACAAGCTCAGATGGGTCCAGTGAGCGGCCATAGAAAGCGCTGAAGAATACTACGGCGGGAATCTGTAAGAGACAGACCTGCAGTGCGTATGCAGATCCAATTTCCATAGACAATGCAATGTTGCCGTTCATGGCAAATGAGATGGCGTTCTGTTGGGTGTGTCAGTTAGCAATATAAAGTGAAAAATGGCCTCGATAGGGGCTTTCATAACCAACGTACCAGGAACTCCGTCGTGTTTGGCACCAACGCGAAAAGAGTAATGCCGAGGAATTTCTCATCAATATCCACGCTCTCTAGCACAACATCAACTGTGTTGACAAGAATCTCGGCAATCACCGCATAGAGGACTGTTGCCCCAAGAAGAATAACAGAGCTTTTAACTTTGCTCCAATTAGGTGCATCATGTCCTCCGCTAGCATGAGTGGGTTCCACACTCAACCCGAGGTCTTCAAGCTCTTCTCCAGCGGTATTTTGTGATCGCTCTGGAGCAGGGCGGCTAGCTTGACGAACAGAAGCTTGATGGTGTTGGACATTGGGCTTGCGACTTCGAGCCGCATCCCGAGCAGCCACTGTTGCTGCTGCTGCTGCCACTTCTGTGAACTGGCGTACTAACCGCTCGTTGTCTTCTTTGGCTATGCTACGGAGAGGATCTGGCACAGGGTGACCGTCCTCGCCGCTAGAATTGGGGGGTACTAAGTGTGGGAAGTTGCTTCTGAGGTCGGTAGTAGCTTCACTTTCAACCCCTTCCAAGTTGCCCGAGCCATTGTCTTCCAGGCCAAAATGCTTCAATGACTGGCCTAGAATTCGCTTATATAGCTGAGATTCGCGGATCGAATCTTTGGACCCAGAAGCGGCGCCGGAGGCTTCGGGTTGGCCATTTGGGAACAGCAGGTGCCGTGGTTCGTAGAACGAGTCTTGCGTAGATTGGGTGGCATGGGCTTGGGAATTCTTCTTTTCTTCCATCTCTGATGCCCAGATGAGAGCAGCATGGGTCCTAAGAGTAAACCATAGGCCGATGCCATATGAAAGGAACAAGAAAACAGCGGCGATCCATGCATATGGCTGTACCGCATTTTGAAAGAACTGGTCATCGACAGCCGCTGTTTGTGAGAAATAACAGCGACGGCAATCTCGAGTCTCCGGATCGAGGGAACTGACACAGGAGTGGCAGTTCAGCTCATGCTATGCACCAGTTAGTTTGTATTCGTTTGCGAAGAAATGTGAAACTTACACTGCCATAAACCTGATAGAAGAGAGTGGGACCAAAAGCAGCAATCACCGCAAACAACAACATCGTCGAGGTCACACCAGCTGATTTCACATTGAACCGCTGAGTCTTGCGTTTGAGTGCACCAAAGCACATGGACAAACCAGGGAGAAACAGAATGCCGACAAAGATACTGCCGATGATGCTTCCCTCGACAAGCTGAGCTTTACCCTCAGTTAAAGCGACACAGTAGAGGTATACTTCTACGATAGTTGAGAAGAAAGCATTGATGGCGGCACCCAAGCCCATAGAAGATTGAGCCGAGATCGAGGCAACGGCTTGCCCAATGAAATAGGCCAGAGGAATGATAGAGAGTAGAGCGAGAGGAAAGATCAAGGCCGGATGTGTGAGCCAGTTCTGCAAGCCCAAGAAACTGCCCAAAACATGATAGTCGAAAATTACAAACACAACCACGCCAAGAAGATTGATCAAGAAAATGTTCGTTCCGTCGAGAGTGTACTTCCAGTACCTAGTTCCCGCAGCTCTGTAGGTGCAAAGAAGGATGGAAGATGAAGATGTGGTTGTGCTCGATCTAGCATATCTGGAATCGGAATGGAAGGACAGTGCTAGAGGATGTCTGCGTAAATGGCTCACCAGTGTAATCGTTACACGGCCCATGGGAATCCAAAACACCAAGAGCCAGCAGATGAGCGATACCATAAGCATCAGCGGGCCGACTAAGAAGTAAAAGAACACGAAGAACACGACACGACCCAAGGTCCATTCGCCCCGCCCAAAAAGGCGACGCTTGGATTGAGCGAGCTGAGAAGAGTCTTCGCGTTGTCCACGCTGGGGCCGCCCGAGCAGGCTGTCTTGCTCACCGGCCGAATCAACACTGTTCCTTCGTCTACCGACCAGGGACCGGTCTCTGCGAGGCCCGAAGAAAAGACGACCATGTTCCAGGTCACCATTCTGCCATTGCTCATATTCGCTGATACTGCGTCCCTCGCCCTCATCTTCTTCGGCATAATTCTCATCAGTCTCCAAAAGAACGTATGATCCGAACGGGTACAACAAATATCGTGAAAGACCTGCAAATACTCTTCCGTATGCCACAGCACTCGACGAGTAGGAAAAGAAAAAGCATGCAACTGCGGCCAACAGAGCAAAAAGGGCAAGCCACCATCCAAAGACCAAGGACCATAGTAGGTTGGTCAAAAAAAGCATGGGACTGACATAGCCTCCTGGAGATGAGTGAATATCACCCTCAGCAGTCTTCTCTACAGAACGGCTCTTCTTGTACAGCGCAGGCTTCCAGATCCTAATACCAAACGGATGTGTTTCGTTGATGGCCTGTTGACGGTCCTTGAGTGTGAAGCTCTCAGCATCACTGGCTGCGTCTTCATCGTCTTCCACGCTATCCTCCTCCTCGTTCTCACTCTCCCCTCCGCTGCTATGTCCGGCCTGTTTTGAAGGAGAGAAGCCTTCTTCAAAATCCAGACCTGGTTCAGGCAAGCCTGTTTCGTCTGCATTGTAACCCTCCGAATCGGCTCTCGCCAAGGGTCTGGGACGAGCACTGGGACGTCGTCTCAATGTCGAGCTTTGCGTTCGTAGTGGACGAATCCTGGGAGATTGTTGCGTGTTCACGCCTTGTTTCATTGTCAGATACTGCTTGACCTCATTGACATCATCGTCTGTCGAGAACCCTTGCCCCTTGTGGGGGATTTGGCGCTTGGAAGACATGCGACGCGATACCGAGGGCTTTCGGGGCTTATCGGGGATAGTGGACGATTGGGTCGTGAATGCGCGAGTCGAACTCTCCTCTTGGCCATCATCACGTAGTTCGGGATTGGTCGCATCGAGGGAAGGTGTATCAAGTGTACCTGCAATTTTCGATCAGCCCAAGCCGTCATTGTCGTAGGTAACACCAAAGTCAAGCTTACCGTATGTTCTCCGCGCGGAGGCAGATGATATGATTGGAGGCGCTGGTTCAGAAGTTGGCGTTTCCCTTCCCGCCGCAGATGGCTGCGTGGACTCGGGAGAGTCAGGGTTTCCTTTATCACCAGCCATGACACAGTGATTTGACAAACACACAGTGAACCTTGGAAGCAGAAGAGACGAAGAAGAGAGAGAATATCAAAGATACAGGGTCTCCTCTCTCTTTTATGCTGTCTTTGTTGTCCCCAAAGAAAGAGAGGGAGGAAAAAGTCAAAGCGATAAGACCGAAGTTCCTAGTGACATTATTGAACCGAATAGATCTAGGTGAAACACAGAAATCGAAAATGTCAATGAAAGTTTCATTAGTTGAGACGCATATAGATCATTGCAGGTCCAAGTAGGACGAAACTCGTGGAAAAGAGTATGTCAAAGGAGAGAAATGGCTCTTTGACCGTTGCCTTCTGTCCCGTACAAAGTACTTTCTCTCGCATTGCAGATGACCGGATCATCAGCCCACCTGGGCAGCTCCAGGCGGGCCAATCAAATCCACAGCTGACTCATTGGGTGGGGAGCTCCCGAAGTCTCATCCATGGAAACAAAGCCATCTTTTTGGCTGGTTTGTCTTAATTACGTGACCTTATATTTCAGGCTTAAATATATGTTTCTTAGTCAGCACACTGGACGGGCGGGCACCGGACCTGAGCTTCACGTACAGCTGGACTGCTCTGCTCGGCAAACCCCAGCTTCAACTTCTCCGTTTCTGCTCCTGACCTACATTCCCCCCTTTGACGAACTCCCGATATACCATCTTCTGAGAAGAAAGATAAAGCTTTTTTTCCCCCTTTACTGCATCTGCGTTCTGTGGAAGACAGACAGCCCTTGAGTCTCCATAGCGTCATCACCCCATTCGCCATCATGGCTCTGGACAACTACTATCGCAATAAAATCGAGGGCATGAAGCTCGAGATTATCCAAGGTCAGGCCGTTCTACGACGATTAGAAGCGCAGCGCAATGACTACAACTCGAGAGTCCGTCTACTGCGCGAAGAGCTTGGGTTGTTGCAACAACCCGGCTCCTACGTTGGCGAGGTGGTGAAGGTGATGAGTACCAAGAAGGTTCTGGTGAAGGTACACCCAGAAGGAAAATACGGTAGGCTTCGTCCATTCCAGTCCTCTTAACTTTTGATGACCGGGCTTACGCTAATGCTATGGTTTCCTTGATCGCAGTGGTGGATATCTCCGATGGTGTGGACATTAGCAAACTCGTTGTGGGAAAGCGAGTCGCTCTCCTGTCTGACTCCTACAAGTTGGAGAAGATGTTGCCGTCCTCGGTCGATCCTCTGGTTGCACTCATGATGGTCGAGAAGGTCCCCGACAGCACTTACGACATGATTGGTGGCCTAGACCAGCAAATCAAGGAAATCAAGGAAGTGATCGAACTTGGTCTCAAGCATCCCGAGCTATTTGAATCTCTGGGTATCGCACAGCCGAAGGGTGTCTTGCTTTACGGCCCACCCGGAACCGGCAAGACCCTGCTTGCTCGAGCAGCTGCTCACCATACCGACTGTCGATTCATCCGAGTAAGTGGTTCGGAACTGGTGCAGAAATACATCGGCGAGGGTAGTCGGATGGTGCGTGAGCTTTTCGTCATGGCACGAGAGCACGCACCAAGTATCATCTTCATGGATGAAATTGATAGTATTGGATCCAGCCGGATAGATTCATCAGGAGGTGGTGACTCGGAGGTTCAACGTACCATGCTGGAGTTGTTGAACCAGTTGGACGGCTTCGAGCCAACAAAGAACATTAAGATTATCATGGCGACAAATCGACTGGATATTCTGGACCCGGCCCTACTTCGGCCTGGGCGAATTGATCGAAAGATCGAATTTCCCCCTCCATCGTCAGTCCATCCCCCTTCGCTCCCAGTTCTATCCTGTCTTGTTATTCTCTTTTTTTAATTCTCCCCCTCTCTTGGGTACGATGCTAACTTTACTTTACTTTTATAGGGTCGAGGCTCGTGCCGACATCTTGCGAATCCACTCTCGGTCGATGAACCTGACCCGTGGGATCAACTTGACCAAGATTGCCGAGAAGATGAACGGATGCTCTGGAGCCGAGCTCAAGGGTGTCTGCACGGAGGCAGGCATGTATGCACTCCGCGAGCGTCGGGTTCACGTCACACAAGAAGACTTTGATCTGGCTACTGCCAAGATTCTCAACAAGCACGATGACAAGGAGGTGGCCGTGTCGAAGCTGTGGAAGTAGAAGCCTCTCGAAAGCGGGGGGTGGGGTGGATCCCGGGGACTTGGGGAACGATCGACGACATTGTATCACTAGTTCTAATCCTACCCTGATAATTCTCACCCCAAGTGAATGCATAGTTGTGCGACGTGTCTGAATCCAACCCATTTCAGGTGATGTGTGTAGGTGGTGACTTATTCCTTGGCAACCTCTTTAGGGGCGACTGCCTGCTTGGCCTCGGTGCATACTCTCCGTCCACATACATGTAGTAGATCAGCCATCTATCTTGTACTGGATGCGGGATTGGTCTGACGTGTAAGGAGACCCCAAAAGTAGATCTCCGTGTCGTGATTTTTTTTCCCTCCTCAATTAGCCAAGAAAAAGGAGAGTCTGCATTCCAAATCTTGGCAGCTTCAGCTTATCTTGAACGGCACATAAAATGCAGGTGCTTGCTTCGTACTAGTACGGAGTAAGTGGTACATACCTACAATGCAGCTCCTCGAAGGAAGGCTTGGCATAATGCTGCGGACCGTGTAGATCAGAGATGTCTCAATTGGTCTTGGCACGGAATTCAGGGATCTCTGACTATTGTCTTGGCAGATTTAAACCCCCAAAAGTATGTCCGAGAATGGGTTAGTATAGAAAGTATTAAATATGTATATATATATATATATACATCTGGTACTCCATATATTGTAGGTGTATCTGGAGAATATCAGAACCTAAGTATAGAAATGTAATACGGTTGAATATTATCTCGGGTAATATAGAACTGTCCAAACCATTGGACACATTTCTCCCCTTGCCGGTTTAGACTGACGCGGACTTGCGCGTGACCAGCGGATCATTTCCCAACGTCCCTGGACTAGCGCCAATGTACTTTGGACAGCGGAGGTACCTGAACCCCCTTGTCCTGGATACCGGATCCACTTAGGTTCACCCCATACTTTGGGGAAGTACCTGGCACTTCCACCTTGAAGTATTTTATTGTACCTTATACTTCTTATAACTCTCTCTCCCTTGCGCGGCCAAGACATGATTGTAGAAATTTAAGGTTGAGAATCACATAATATAGAATTCCCAAGTAAGATCGTATTGTAGTATTTGTACTATTATATATGTTATATTATTCATGAATGTTATGTACATAAGGAGTACGGAGTACGGAGTACAGAGTACTGAATTTGGAGAGTATCTTGACCGAGAGTCCATTTACGGGTTGGTTCCAAGCCCTGAAAGTGTTATCTTTCTCTTTTCAATCGAATTGGAAGATAATTTATTAGATAATTTATTAGATAACTCATTATATAATCCATGGACATTTCCTAAAATGGAATCTTCCCATCTTTCCCTGATCGACTTGTCTCCACAACTCCATACCTCCATAGCTCCATTGGTTCTACTTTGTATACTTATTTCTACTTTCTTTTCTTTCCTTTCTTTTTTTCTTTTTTTTCGTATTTTCGTATTTTCTTTTTTAATATCTGACGGAATAATCAGACAATTCCTAAAGATTTTGTATTTTATCCGATTCCCCTGTTCATTTAAACTATTTCCTTTCCCCTCTCTCTCCACCTTTTTCTATACTTTCCCAAGCGTAACTTTGTTTTTCTATTCCCTAGTACTATAAACCTACCGGACTATGTCCGACCTGTGGTCTTCCATAGCCTTTGCCATTGACCCTAAGAGAACTCAAGCTATGCCTGTCGTTCTACAATCAACAATCAATCTCTTGGAAAGTGAGCTGGTCAAAGCCCGCGCTGCCCTCCGGGATATCCAACCCAATGCCTCACCCTTTGGATTCCGGGGTGATGATATCGCCGTAGGTGTCATGACTGCCTACAGACGGGACCTCATCGGCCGGGCCCCGGATTTTTATGGGTCTCGCCGCTTGACGCTGAAGGAACTCGGCCTGGAGCCCGTTGTACGCGAATTACCCACTGAACGGGTGGTACCAAAGGTGCAATCTATAACACCAGCAGTCACTCACCGAACGGGACTAGAGGATGTCCTAAGCAATAGCTTGATCCTCGACCAGATGGCACCATATCTCTCAGTATCCTCGTTGATGACGTTGAGCTCAGCTTCACGCCGCCTACACACCGTTATCACCCAGACGCCATATGTATTCCGGCATCTCGATCTGTCCCGGTGCCGGGGCGCAGAACTTCCAACGGTAACACAAGCGGAGAACGACTCGCAGACGGAGGATGAGATCTACTCCGCCCCATTGAAGCGTATATTTACGAGCCTTGAGCGCAGAGGTATACTGAAAGATGTGCGCACTCTCATCTTGGACGGGGTGTCAGTTCCGGCTGATCTGGTGGCCGATATCATTTTGACAGATCGCTTTAATGTCAATATCTTGTCTATTCGCGAATGTCGCCATCTCAACGAACGCAAGCTCATGCAGGTCATTCAGCATGCCGTTCGGCCTACACGCCCGGCAGGTACGCCGCGGGTGAAGGGTGTCTATCATTTCTCTCCCATGCACACGGGCCCTCGGGCAGTGGCACGACCCCGATATCGAGACTGGTGGGGAACCCGTGTAGGAACTTCGCAGACACCCAGCCAAACCCCATCTAACTCTGATCAGGAGGACGGGGCCTCCACGGGATCGTCGGTAGAGCAGCAAAACGAGTGGTATAGCGCATCGGGGAAGCTTTTCAAGCACACCCCTGAGGAAGGCTGGGCCCAGGTGCTTAAGAAGTGCGAGGGCATCATTGCCTTTGATGCTGCTCTTTGTCGTGGCCCAAGACACGATCCCAACCTATACAGTTCAACCACGGAGGAGGGCACCCCAACTGAGGTTCCGTTGCTTGGACCCGCCGTAGCCACTGTAGCCCTTGGACCCCGTGGATGTGACGGGTGTCACAGTTCTCCTGAAGGTCCAGCTATTTGGAGCCAGTCTCCAGATATTCAATTTCCGATGCTCAGTCCCCCGCCATTGCACTCATCTAGCATTGCAGCGGCGAAACGGCCCGAGCTAATTCCAGGCGAGCATCCGGTCCTCATCGCCCGTTGCACGGACTGCCTCACCAACTGTTGGTGCCATCGGTGCAATAAATGGTTCTGTGGAAACTGTCTACCAAACCCACAGCGTGTCCGAGTAAGCCTATCCCCGCATCAAACTGCAATCCACGCCACTGCCGCTGAATTGCAAGAACGTGAGGTATGTTGAAATTGAATCTGCCCCCCTAATCGTCCATATCTTTAATGCTTGTCATGCAGAGGTTAGAACGTGGTGTAAGCAAAGATTGCTGGGAGTGTGGCCCAACTGTGAGTACCTCTCTGGCTTTAGAATGCCGTTTCCTTCTAACCATAGTAGTGTGCTTCCTGTAAGCTGGAATGTCAGTACACATGCCAAGGCTGCCAGGGTGACTATTGCATTCAGCACAATGAAGGATGCTCGAAGACACTGGTACGTGATTGTTTTCTTCTATTATTAATTCAAGGCCCCATGATTGTACGAGAGCGTATACTAACCCGTCCTGCAGTGTGACTGGTGCAATACTAGTGCTCGCGGCCGAATGCGTGGCGACTTTTATTAAATTTGACGCAGGTCCAATTTATTTTTTATATTTTTTATATTGGTAATCGACACGTCGAATTATAACATATCCATTGGACGTACGGAGTACTCCGGTACATGAACTTGATTTTAAAGCGAAGTATCAAGGCGTGGAGGCTTCCAGAATTGAAACTCTTATCTCTTATCGGCCGTGCAGACCGCAATAGCGGCAGATCTGGCAAAAACCTGGCTTTTGTCCGGCAGAATTGTAGGCATTTCAAGGTTGTAATAATATATAGTTATAAATACATATATATATATATTGAGGCGGAAGCTAAAAAGACACACAGCCATGAATATCTATCGTTCATATTATTCATAAAATAATAACCCAACGAAAAAAAAGAGAGATGAGATCCACCAATCCGCGGCGGTGGTCCTAAAGTATGGGAATTGATTTTTGTCGTTTTTGCCGCTATTTAGGTCCGTCCCCGCCATGGAATATTAATATTAAAGAATGCATTCTCTCTTTAATGAGTTTCTATATTCATCATGGCTCAAGATAATTTAGTCTGGTCATCCCAGCTACTCGTCACATCGCCAGAGCGGGCGCCTCGACTGACCGGTGACAAAATCACTTTGCCGCAATCTGCGCTCGAACAGCTGCTAGCTGCCGCTCCGCTTCAAGCTGTCCCCTCCGGGAGCTCTCGTGTACTTACTTCGTCATTCGATCCCTTCAACCACCATACCTTCGCCGCCGAATCGCGTGCTCGTCAGGAGGTCGAGCAACGTCAGCAGCAACTACCTCATCCGTTAATATTCCGCATTGTCAATCCTCTGAATGGCCGGTTCATCTATGCGGGCATTCGGGAGTTCTCCGCTGGAGAGAATGAAGTCGCCCTGAGTACATTGCTCAGAGACTCACTCGATATCAAGGATGAGGAGTTCTTGAGCGAAAGTGGCGAACCACAAGACCTGGCCGTACCCCAAATAGAAAGGGAACCCTTACCACGGACTGGCCCCGCGGTCACAGTACACGCGAAGCAACTACCAAAAGGAACATATGTTCGCCTCCGTCCGCTAGAAGCCGGATACGATCCTGAAGACTGGAAGGCTCTTCTTGAGAGATACTTACGTGACAACTTTACGACCCTCACAACGGGCGAACTTCTGACAGTGCCGGGTACCCGGAGCGAGTCATTCAGATTCTTGGTGGATAAAGTGTTTCCCGAAGGCGAAGGAATATGTGTGGTGGATACAGATCTTGAAGTTGACATCGTCGCATTGTCAGAGGAACAGGCCCGAGAAACGCTACAGAAGAGATTGGAAAAGGCTTCACGCGCGCCGGGTACAACTAGCGGCAGTTCAATCGGTGGTACCCTCAGCATTGGAGAAGATGTCACCGCCCAAGTGTTGCCTGGGGAATATGTGGATTATGAGCTTCGAGATTGGAACCGCCAGGATACTATTCAGATTGAGCTTACTACGGACAACCCGGAAGTGAGTCTTTTTGCTAGTCCCTTTTCTACTCGCCAAAGAAGTCGTCCGAGATCAGATATGCATGCCTTGGGGGATTTCTCGAGCCAGTCGCCCAAGAAATTTGATCTTCGGCCCTCAAATGTGGTTCTGGAAGACGCCGAGGCCCTCTACATAGCAGTTCACGCCGATCCTGCAAGCATTGAATCATCGGATCAACAACGGCAGTCACCATCGCAATACCACCTGCGGATCACACTGAATCCATCGGGCTCATCGGATAGTCATAATGAGACGGAACAGTCCCACGAGCCTAGCGATGTGCAGTGCAAGAACTGTCAGCAATGGGTTCCTAATCGGACGCTAGTTCTCCACGAGAATTTCTGTCTCCGCAATAATATATTATGTTCGCAGTGCCAGAATGTCTTCCAAAAGCGGTCTCCAGAGTGGCAAGGTCACTGGCACTGTCCACACGACTCCGGCCATGGCAATGATGCCCCAAGCAAGGAAAAACATGACACTATTTTCCACCAAGCACATCAATGCCCCGATTGTGATGGGGATTTCGAAGGGCTTCCTAATCTTGCGCAACATCGTACTACAGATTGTCCTGGGAAGTTGATCCTCTGTCAATTCTGCCATCTTCTCGTACCACAGAAAGGCGACTCTGACCCTGATTTCCGCGACCCCGAGGTGATGCTCTCCGGCCTCACTCCACACGAACTGGTGGATGGAGGACGCACCACCGAATGTCATCTATGTAATAAGATTATCCGATTACGAGACATGAACACCCATCTTCGCCACCATGACCTGGAACGCCTTTCTCGACCCGCACCGCGCATATGCATGAACAGAAATTGCGGCAGGACATTGAACAAAGCCGGAAATGAGTCTGTTGGCCTTTGCAGTTTCTGTTTCGGACCGCTGTATGTGGACACGCACGATCCAGAGGGTAAAGGACTGCGTCGTCGCATTGAACGCCGATATCTCTCCCAGATGATGACCGGATGTGGCAAGCCCTGGTGTCACAATGAGTACTGCAAAACGGCAAAGCAGGAAATGGCATCTGACTCTGGTCCTCCAGCCGCGATGAGTGTAGTGGAAATCATGAAGTTGACACGCCCACTTGTCGAAGCTCTCAACACCCAGCCCAGTGTGCCTAATACGGCGCCTTTATACCTCTGTGCTGACGAAACAAGTCAACACCGTCGCAATCTCGCAGAGCTGATTGCAGCAGAAAGCACTGAAGGGAATGACAAAGTGTATGATCTACCATGGTGTATTGCAGCAGCAGAAGCCTCGGGTGGCGACTTGGAGAAGGCAAGAGAGTGGCTGTCTAAATGGGCACCAACTCAGGGGGCAACTAATACATGATTCTTCAAGGTTTGGATTTGGA